TAACAACCCAACCCAACCGACCCCGCCCCATTGGGCCCCTCCCGCCCCATTGAGCAATAGAGGTATAATATATCTAAGGGCAGGCTGGATTGTGACAATGGGGCGGGAGGGGCCCAATGGGGCGGTACCGGTTGGGTTGGGTTGTTAAGTTTGGGTTAGTTTGGGATGGCACAATGCAGTGTACCTGCATAACCAAAATGACAGCTATTCGTCATAACCTTGAGGAATACTTGGCCTCTAGTTGAAAATGAGGTTAAAATATGCGACGGTTGAGCACACACATTTCTACGTCCTTCCGTCGCGACGGTCGAGCACACACTTTTCTACGTCCGTCCGACGGTCGGGGAGACCCTACCTTTAATTATTCGACATTTTCAAATCGACATTTTAATTTTCGATATTATCATTTTCGACATTTTGAATTTTCGATATTTTGATCTTCGACATTTTGTATTTTCGATATTTTGATTTTCGATAAAAAGTGTTCGATATTTTGAATTCGATATAATGAATTTCGATATTGTGAATGTCACCCAAATTATATGAATGTAAATACAAATTATTCTTTGATGTACCCTATGCGCATGACGGGTAAAACTTAACCAAGTCCAAGGTTATTAATCTATGACCAAGTCTAAAGCTTGGACATACGAGAGTGCACTCTTGGCTGTTTTTGAACAGTTGACAGTTGCATATTTCTAGGTATATACCATAGAATTCGAACGCGCAAGGTAAACTTGGAGTGTATCCAGAGTGCACTCTTGCGAGTTTTCGAACGCACTCCTGAATATCTAGATTAGGTTGGCAGCACTGAATTACTAAACGACGCCAGCTTTTTAAAAGAAATTGACGAGTTCTGTGTTGACCGCTGAAGTGACAAGTGTCCTTGAGAGGACAATATGGTGCTCACAGCACAAAATTAAGCTAATCAGTGCCAAAACTCCAAAATCTACATTAGATTTGTGAAGATGCAATAGATTTCCACAAAGGATGATCGAAATATTAAAGGATTTAATAGTCATGTTCAAACTGCCATGTAGTGCATCGTGGGTTTTTTTTGCTATTTTTTTTTGCCCTCTATTTTTATGTATGACTTCCGCTGCGTGTATGGTGATTTCGTTTATGTTTAAGACATTAGTGTATTAGTATAATAAAAATGACTCTAAATGATTAGTGTACTGAGAAGATTTGTTAAGATTGAACTGTAATGCTAAAATAAAAAGATTGATTTATGAACTATGAAGACTGAAGTGATATTGATGGACATTAATTTTGAAAAATAAAACAAATAATCAAGAAGAAAACGAGAAGCTGTAATTTATATATATTATATAATAAAGAAGAAAGGAGAAGCTATAGGTATTCCTAGACTCGCTTACTCCAGTACCTAAAAGAAACGAGATTAAGCTGGCTAAATCCTGGATGGGAAAGGCCAAACCAAACAAAGAAGAAGAAGAAGAAAAGAAATTGACAACAAATTTTGAGCGACATCTATGATCTATGATCAATTGCCACCTCGGTAGGTGATAAACTTTTATAAAACGCTGTTGCTAGTGCACCGCGTGCGGTGTACTATTCTGCACCGCCAAATTATATATTACGTCATAAACCCAAACCAACCCAAACTCAACAACACAACCCAACCGTTTTCGTGATCAAAAAGGATCGAGTTTCGATCCTGTTTTCTGGATCAAATAGGATCGAATCCTGTTTTCGTGATCAAAAAGGATATCGAACCTCGATCCTATTTAATCACGAAAACAGGATCGAAACTCGATCCTTTTTGATCACGAAAACAGGATCGAAACTCGATCCTTTTTCGATCATTTTTCATAAGGTTTCCATAATTAATTCTAAAATAAAAGATACAATTTACAAAACTTGAAAATTTATTGGGCACTTTGTATTTCAAAAAAATCGGATGACGACGACGATGATGATGAAATTCGTAATTATAATAATAACAGTCATATATTTTATAAAATAATATTCACAACATTAATTCCGTGGTTTCGGGGAATAAGGGGTTAAGTCATTTTTGGGTCTCTCTTTTCAGACTACTGTCATAAGGTAAGAGTATGAAAAATTGTATATAATACTACTTTTACTTATTATGGAAACCTTATGAAAAATGATCGAAAAAGGATCGAGTTTCGATCCTGTTTTCGTGATCAAAAAGGATCGAGTTTCGATCCTGTTTTCATGATTAAATAGGATCGAGGTTCGATATCCTTTTTGATCACGAAAACAGGATTGAAACTCGATCCTTTTTCGATCATTTTTCATAAGGTTTCCATTATTAATTCTAAAATAAAAGATACAATTTACAAAACATGAATAATTTATTGTACATTTTCGTTTTCAAAAATATCGTAGGTATGACGATGGTGATGAAATTTTTATCCTTTTTCTAAAACAAAAAAAAGTGTCCCTTTAGGGGAATATATATTTTTTAATATTTTAATATTGTCTTTTTAACTTTTGCAAAATAATCTTGCAAATTTACATTCATACCTTTTTTCCTTCGGCGATTTTTCTATTTTTTTTTTTTTGGATTTGTATTTTTGTTTTGCTTTAGCTCATATATTGTGGCGTACTTTTTTTCTTTATATTTTGATGTGGCCCCATTGCACGCCAATGTTGTATGAAATTTTAACAATTTTTATTTTCAAAAATAGGGCTTTCATATGAAAGGTATATATACAAAATTATGATTAATTTTTATCATTTTCATAGAAAAAACGTTTTTTCTTTGTCAACTTATGTGTGATATTTTTCTGAATCAGGATAATGGGAGAACATTTTCCCCTGGTAGGTTAAAACTGAATCACCCTGTATAACTATATACAATTTGCAATAATAAAGACTAAAAATTAATTATTTACTACTTGCAAAAAAAGAAACAACGCATTGCGCAGTTGCTCCCTCACGTTCAATAAAGTATTTCTTGTTTCGAGAGAAAATTTTTGCATCGAAATTTGAAATTTCCGACAGCAACACGCTTTTTTTGTGCCCCGTGTCGCAAAATTTAACAAAAGCACATGGTCCATCAGCGGTTAAATTAATTGACATTTTGCTATCTTGCTGTCTTTAAATTTACCTATAACAAATAAATTCATAGTAAAATTTGTATACATAACCTTACTTTTCAGGGGCCGAAAAAACAAAATTCATAAAAAATTGCCGCAACTCGGGAATCATAAGTTTTTTTTGTTTGATGGCAATCAGTACTTTTTATCGAATTTTTAATTATTATAGTAAAGAAAAACCCACAGTAAAACCGTAAAATCGATAACAAAAAACACTAACCAACATGACAAGCACGTGCACAGATTATAGACACATTAGAGACAGGGTTGCCAGATGATATTTTTTTTATTTCCCCAGATTTTTTTCGTGATCAAAAAGGATCGAAACTCGATCCTATTTGATCATGAAAACAGGATCGAAACGATCCTTTTTGACCACGAAAACCTTATCAAAAATGTTCGAAAAAGGATCGAAACTCGATCGTGTTTTTATGATCAAATAGGATCGACTTCGAAATCTGATCGAGAATGATAAAAAAGGATCGAGAATTTCAAGAACCTAGTAGTCGATCATATTTGATCATGAAAACACGATCGAGTTTCGATAATATGTTATCAAAACTCAATCGTGTTTTCATGATCAAATAGGATCGACTTCGAAATCTGATCAAATATGATAAAAAAGGATCGAAACTCGATCGTGTTTTTATGATCAAATAGGATCGACTGCGAAATCTGATCGAAAATGATAAAAACGGATCGAGAATTTCTAGAACCTCATTAAATATGATAAAAAAGGATCGAGAATTTTCTAGACCATGATCAAATATGATAAAAAAAGATCGAGTTTCGATCAGTTTTTTTCAGCAGGGTATGAAGTCACAAATACCAGACCATAAAACATATCGCTGAGCTAGTTATTCAACGTGGTTAATAGTCTTTCTCTTTTTAATATATATTTTTCTCTGTTTCGATCTGTCAAAAAGTTGTTTACATTTGAAATTTAAAATATTTTAAGTAGGTACAATTGCTCTTAAACCGAATTTAAACTTTGTATTAAAATGGTAAACGGGGTGTTGTCAGTGAAAATAAATGATAGGGTGCTCCATATTGTGGAATCTCCACAAGAAGTGGAGGAATTATATGCAGGTTTGTTTTATATTCTTCCTTATTTTGTATTAAACATGAAGGAGAATTGGATAACGTGGATTGAAAAAACTAGTATAGAAAAAGAATATACTAGGTATAAGAAGAGGCAAAGAAATTTATTTACACTGGTGTAAACTCTTGTAGAGTTTAGGGAATGTTGAGGGTAGTTAGGTAGATGTGAATGATAGGCTGGTTGTGGTTGAAAGAGAGAAAGTTTTATTAAATTAATTCCTATTTATACATAATTCTAATGTGACGTAGCAACTAGATAATTTAAACAATGTGCAAATATGCAGTTTTAACGGCGATGACCGATTAATTGGTACTAATTTTGTAGGCTCAGCACCTTTGGGTCGGTCACCGCTTCGAAATATTAAATAATTTAAATATAAAAAATTAAAATAATAAAAATTAAAAATATTGTAGCAAGTACGGCTCTGGATCTCGGAATGATGACTCATCGCCGATGAGTCATCGCCGGTGACTCAGCGCACGAATAATCGAGAGTGTGGAGCTCGCTGGAATGTTCTAGAGGACGTAGGCGCTGTAATATATAAGAAACGACGCATCACAGAGCAGTCAGTTTAGCTTTGGTACGCGCGAAGAAATAAATAAATATAAGTGCAAATAAATAAACTAGTAGTGATATAAATAATTAGTAGTTAAGTGTTTAGTTAGTTTTATAGTGTTTTAAGTGTAGTTAAGTTATTAAATAAATAGTTTAGTTCGTTAATTAACCAGTGCGTGTTTTAATTCACACTACGAACAGTAAAAACGTTACAATTGGTGTCAGAAGTGGGATTAGTGTGAAACTTCGCGAAAATGGTTTCGTTAATGGACTTAAAAGTGGCGGACCTTAAGCGGGAGCTGGAAGAAAGGGAATGTGATACAACTGGAAAAAATAATGTGTTGCAGCAGCGGCTTCGAGAAGCGTTGGAGCAGGAAGGTGAAAATCCAGATACGTATTTATTTGAAGGCCCTTGTGACATGCATTTAATGTTGCAAAATTTAAAAGACCTAAAAGTCGATTTACAACAGAATATTCTAGAAAATTCCAACGAGTTGCAACAGAAAATGTTGGAAAATTCTAGCGATGTACAACAGAGAATTTTGGAAAATTCTAACGAGTTGCAACAGAAAATGCTAGAAAATTCTAAGGATTTGCAACAGAAAATGGTGGAAAATTTCAACAATTTAAAGGATGATTTACAACAGAAAATACTGGAAAATTCTAAAAATTTAAAAGAATATTTGGAACAGAAGATTCTAGATAATGTCCAAGAATTGGAAGAGAAAATGGGGCAGAAATTTGACGACGTAAGGATGGAATTGAATGACGTAAGGATGGAATTGGATGATAAATTGGAAGTCAAAATTAAAGAAATAAATAGTAAACTGACAGCTGTAAATCTACCCATGATGCTGGCGGAACCAGGAACAATGCCGGAGGGGAGCCGAGTTCGGATGAAACCACCTCAGTTCGATGGAAAAACTTCTTGGACCAACTACATCCGCCAGTTTGAGGCAGCAGCAAAAGCAAATGGCTGGCTACCAGAAGAGAAGGCTACAGCATTGACTCTGGCTTTACGCGGAAATGCAACGGACATCTTGCAGACACTCTCTCCCAACGAACAAGAAGATTACGAAGCGTTGGTTAAACATCTGGAACTGCGATATGGCCAGACACATCTGGAACATGTGTACCATTCCCAACTGAAGAATCGCTGCCAGAAATCTAACGAGACTTTGCAAGAATTTGAGGCTGATATTGCACGCTTGGTCCGGCTAGCATATCCAGCTACTCCAACGACCATTATGGAACGATTAGCGGTTCAAGCCTTTTTGGATGGACTTCGAGACAACGAAACAAGACAGGCTCTAACCCTGGCTCGTCCGAGCCAACTGGTTGATGCATTGGCTCGCGCTTTGGAATTCGAGGCGGCAAAGCAGAGCTGCAGGAGCCAGCCTAGAATAAGGAAGGTCGAGGAGGAGAAAGAGAAGGAACCCAGTATAATCGAAGAAATCAGGCGAGTTCTTAAAGAGAATCTACCAGAGAAGAAGGAAATCCGGTGTTGGAGATGTGGAAAGCTGGGACATATATATAGTTATAGCGCAGAATCCCTATCATAGACTCTGAACCACAAAATCCCGCTAGCTCAGATGGTCGTGGGTGAATGTCCTTCGTAATTACTACTTACCTTCGAACTTTTAAAAATGGGCACCAAGTAATTTTTTTATGGGTTGAGAATAAAAGAAATTACTAAAAAAAGTTAAAGTGTATTTCACACGAAGTTAATGTATATAAAAATACTTAAATCCAATACTAAAATCAGATCCCAAGACAAGTTAATTAAAGTACAAGTTATTTAAAGTACCCTGGTATTACAGTATGATGTTAAAACCCTTCGTGTATATTGGCCAATGTACCCGCAGTTCACACTAATCGAAGTTTATATTAAATATGATTAAAGTTAAAAAAAAATATTCTACCAGGACCTAATTGTTAGTGAAAGAAATGGATCTGACCTTAGTTCTGCACTTTCTAATACAAAATTGGTGTACGTGGAGCTTTTCCTGTAAGAATTGTACGTCAGTCCATCCGTGTACGGTATCCAATATCTAATATCCCGGTGATCGTGGGTGACACAGGAGGTGTGACTTAAAACAACTTGAGACAATAATCTTGCTCGAGACTTAAACTGAGGCTCTAGGCCCAGAATTAAAAATTAAAACTTAAAACTTAAAAGTCAAAACTTAAAAATCAAAACTTAAAAGTCAAAACGTAAAATTCAAAAGTTAAATGTCAAAACTTAAAACCCTAAAAGAAAAAATGAGCATAAGAATTTGCATCTTGGATGAAGAAACTAACCTTACCTTCGAGAAGGGTTTTGTCTTCGTAGGAAATAGATCTTAATTAAATCCAGTTATATCCGAAATACATCGATAGGATCCGGCACTCAAAATACCATCAATTGCCAACAAACAACATTGCACGGTTCCTAATATGAATAAACATGTCTTATATCCTTTTAATAAGGTTTCACTTGGCAGAGCGAAAAATCGACCATTTTATTCTCTGGACAACCATCACAAGACAAACCTGCTTCCGGCTTCTACATTACTTTGTCCCCCTTCGAAAACCAGACCTGCGCACAACCATCCCAAAATGTCAAAATAGGCTCTTAAATGGAAACTAACCATGTCAAATAAAAAAACAATTACTAAAAGTCTGACAACAATAAAAACTCCCGATATTAAACAACATATAGCGGTAAAAAGGCTTGACAAAAGATCTTAAATTCAAATTAGGCACGAAAATTAAACCAATAGGAAAGCAACTACAACAGGTGCCGGATATATGAACAGTGTTGCTCCGTACATTGCATCCTACACGAACCTGCCTAGTCCACGCTTTAAAATCGCTGAGCGATACACTTGGCAACCCCGCGATAAAACGCCGCCTAGTGCGATCAATTCGATCTACCGTTACGTCAATATAAATGTCAACCCGTTTAAAGTAAGTAAACAATTAATAACTGAATAACTCTACCACCACAGTTCTAAAAGATGAAGGCTACATTAATATACACGCTTTTTGTTTTTAGGTATCAGAAGCAGCACATAACTGCTGATCCCGCCAACAACTTTTGAACTAAGATTGCAAAGTCAAACATTCATCATTTAAGACATCCAAAAGCAATAAAACAAAGGTAAGTTAGGCACGTTGTCCAACAATTATATATCACAAACCAAATTTATAACGTAAGCCAACTATTATTAAATTCTATTACTTTTAGGTTATGCTGGACGAACAACAAGGTTATTACACATTTGTATTGTTGTTGATGTTGTTCAATAAAGTTTCAAGAATTAATATATGTTTTAGTTGTCATGAGGAAGTCCTAAGGAAGTAAAATAAAATAACCAAGAGCAAGGCAAATTCACAAAACTACGATTACAATGCTCAACACTGAACCGTAGTATACATTATCTAACAAAAATAGGGTAAAGCACAATTTCTTGTGAACCAAAAATGGTAGTATTAAAATCCAAACCGTAAGGTTACATAGTCGTTGCAGAGGAAGTCAGGTGGCGCCGACTTTATTTAGAAAAATAAATAGGGTCGAAAAAAAGGATGTGTATATTCGCAGGACTACAATCGTAGATGATCATTGGCAATCCGCTGAGGTTCAACAAGACCAGGAAAGGGACCTGGATTTGAAGCTCATCATCGATTGGAAAAAGAACGACCATAAACCAACGTGGCAGGAAGTCGCCCAATATTCGCCGAATGTGAAATCGTACTGGGCCCAATGGAATTCCATCATTTTAAGGGACGGACTTCTAAAGCGCGTTCTGAAGATGCCAGAAATGGAGGAAGACCGGAAGCAGATAATAATCCCCAGAAATAGGATACCAGAAGTGCTGCAGGAAATCCATGATGGAACTACTGGAGGACATCTTGGGGTGACCAGGACGCTCGGAAGACTTAGGGAACGGTTTTATTGGGTCAACAGCCAACGAGATGTGAAGGAATGGTGCAAGAAGTGCGCCGTTTGCGCGGCAAGCAATGGACCCCAGAAGCGCCCAAAAGCCCCAATGCGACAATGTGGGCAGCCCATTTGAGAGAATTGCAATCGACGTGGCGGGTCCATTTCCAGAAACAGAATCTGGAAATAAATACATCATCGTTGTAATGGACTACTTTAGCAAGTGGGCGGAAGCGTACGCCTTGCCAAACCAGGAAGCTGCCACAGTGGCCGATGCCCTTATTAAGGAGTGGATTTGTCGTTTTGGTGTCCCAATGGAAATGCATTCAGACCAAGGCAGGAACTTTGAATCTATATTGTTCCAGAATGTGTGTAAGATTCTTAACATTCGGAAGACGAGGACGACCGCATTACATCCGCAGTCTGATGGAATGGTGGAACGAATGAATCGAACGATAAACAGGTACCTTTCGAAGGTAGTCTCTGATCACCAAAGAGACTGGGACCGCTTCCTCCATCTGTTCCTGTTGGCGTACCGTTCTACTATCCACGATACAACCGGCCAGACACCCGCTAGCATTGTTATAGGACGTGAACTTCGTTTACCTTGTGACCTGAGGTTTGGTTGCCTACCAGGGGAAGATATTGCTGGAGAAGATTACGTTAGCAATTTACGTAGGAAAATGAGCGACATTCACAGCCGAGTTCGTTTAAACATCCAGAGTGCCAGTGATAGAATGAAAGAGGCATATGACATCAAGGCGGAAAATGGAGGATTTTAACCTGGAGACCTAGTTTGGTTATACAACCCTCAGCGCCGTCGTGGTTATTCACCGAAGCTGCAGACTTCTTGGGAGGGACCATATGAAGTCATGGATCGAATAAATGACATCATCTACAGGATCAGGAAACAACCAAGAGGAAAGCCGAAAGTGATCCATTTCAACCGATTGGCCCCTTACGTTGGAAACAATGACGATGCTAGAGTAAGGAGAGTTAATCCGCCGGAAGACGAGTTGCCTTTTGAAGACTTCATGTATTTATATTCGAGCGGTAAAAAAGCTCGGTATGGTGTCACTCGAGAAGAACAAAAAGATCTGTTCACGGTTTCGGCCCATTACTCCTTGGCTCACTGTGTTGCAGAAGACCTAAGGATGTCCAGGGGAATAGCGGTTGTCTTTAAAAACAAGTTTGGACGGGTCGACGAGCTACGAAGGCAGAATCCCAAAGTTGGAGAGGTGCTTGAAATTGTGAATAATGAGCAGAAAGGCAACAGAAGTATATTCTATCTGGTAACGAAGCAGCTCTCCCATCAGAAGCCAAACTACCGTGACGTATGGAATGTCTTAAATAAATTAAGGGATACCCTTTTGTCCAAGGACATCATGAACCTGGCGATACCAAAGATTGCTTGTGGACTTGAAGGTTTAGACTGGAGAATAATTAGAAGTATGGTGGAAGTTATCTTCAGATGTAGTGGCATACACATTCTTGTCTGTTGCCACAACCCTAAAAGAACAACCGGTAGGAAGACCGTAGACTGTTACTTCTATAGGACGTCACAATGCAAGTTTGGATCTCTATGCAAATATCGCCATGGAGCTGAGGACCATTTTCGGGACGAAAATGTTTTAAGACGGGGGCAATGTAGCAAGTACGGCTCTGGATCTCGGAATGATGACTCATCGCCGGTTACTCAGCGCACGAATAGTGAGAGTGTGGAGCTCGCTGGAATGTTCTAGAGGACGTAGGCGCTGTAATATATAAGGAACGACGCATCACAGAGCAGTCAGTTTAGCTTTGGTACGTGCGAAGAAATAAATAAATATAAGTGCAAATAAATAAACTAGTAGTGATATAAATAATTAGTAGTTAAGTGTTAAGTTAGTTTTATAGTGTTTTAAGTGTAGTTAAGTTATTAAATAAATAGTTTAGTTCGTTAATTAACCAGTGCGTGTTTTATTAATTCACACTACGAACAGTAAAAACGTTACAATATTAAATATAAAATTTTGGAAAGTATAAGATATTAAATTTGTTTAATTGACGATTGAACAGTCTGCCCCCTCTCGATTGCTGGTTTGGCATCAGTTCCATCATTTAGGTCTCCTGGATGCTGAATTATAGTGGCATTAGTTCCATCAGTTGACCCTCCTGAGGTGATGATGTGGTGGTTGTTGAAGCTCTATGGTCAGCAGACTTCCTTTGGCATCTTTGACAGAACCGGTACCCTGCGGTCAAAGTTATCATAATGATGATCAGGGTTGTTGACGTGAGGATACTGATTGATATGGAATGATGATGAATCTTTCTCCATTGGTTCTCATCGAGCTTTTCCTGAATGTTGTTTTCCATGGTCTGAAGATGTTCCAAGTTCTGGGAATGCCTAATCACGGATTCAATGGGCTCCATGAGATAGGAGTTGTTGGTTGTCAGTTTGAAATTTGTGAAGTTGTATGATATGGTTTTCGTGAAGGATTCTATCACTGGGATTGAATCAATCCTTCTTGGCGTCAGGATGTTGAATTTTGTTTGTATGATGCAGTCCTGGGCAATTTGGATTATATTCGTCTTGTTCAGCGTAACTTCTTCTCTCACGCCATTGCAAGTTATCGCAATTCTGGTGGGTTTGCTTGTAACTGCCAACCATGCATTAGTTGTAGAGAGTTCTTTCCATATTGTTCCAATAAGACTTCGCTGGACCAGTTTGCATTTGGTTGTCTCGAATCGTTGGTATACTTCATCAATTACACAATTAGATGCCGTTTCTATATTTTTAACTGATGTTGGTGAACAAATATATTCGTTTGCTGAGGTCAATATGCAAGACTTGAACTCGTTTTCGTTCAATCCATAGTATAATTGACGGTTGTAGTCGACGTTGAGAAATGGAACGGTGACGTCTGGTTCCCAATATGATGTGTTAGATATTTACACAGGAATTGGGGTCACTTTCATCAAGGTGAAGTTTGTGGTTCCCACTAGTAAAAAATGACTAAATACTTGGAAAGACTCGTTTGTCGTCCTCATCGTGGTCTTTAATACAGGTTCCGTCAATATATTCAGTGTTGGGGGTAATTTTCTTCGAACATCGTTCAGGATCCTATTTACACGTATTGGTGAAATCAATTCGTGTAAGTTGCCTCTCCGGAAACGTACAGCAAGCAGCTTGGAGTAGTGGTCCAGGACTTCTGTTATAAACTCGTTGGCTACTTCATATGATGTCAGGATGTGAATGTTCAGCTTGTTTGTGTCAATGGTTTTAAACCAGCCTTTCATGTCGTTCATTGCTGATAAGGCTTGATTTAATTTTCTTCTGAACAATTCCAATTTGTTTTGTATTCTTGCTTCTGTTTCGTTAAATGAGGTTAAGGCTGACAGCATAAATTTTGTTTGGTGATGTTCAGCTTTAAGTAGTTCATCTTGGTTCTTTTGAATGCTGTCGATGTCTTCGTATACTTCATCATTCACGCCAAATACTGAAGTAAGCAGTTTTCCCAAAATGCCTCTTTTTCGTCTTTTATGTGTTTCATCTATTACTTGGGTTGTCCACTTTAGTTCTTCGAATTCTTCGTGTAAATGATGAGATAGTGTAGAACATTGAGTGTCATATGTCATGTCCGTTGTTTTCTCGCATAGATTTTCGAAAGTTTTATAAACATTTTCTTTCATTTTGTGTCGGTTGTAGTCTATCTGTACTCTAAAAATGCCCTTTTCAATTCGCGAGTGCCCAAGATGTTCTATATAAAGACCAGGTTTCATATTTCTCACAGTGAAATTTGCGTATACAGAAGGGCACAACATCATACAAAGCATCAGGGTTACTATTGTTGTAACTTTGGAAATGCTGGATTTTCGTTGTGTCGACTGTCTCACTTCGGCTTCTGGACCTTTGGTGTTTGGTAATGGGATTAATTGATGAATACTTCTTTTCATCGGCTGGCTATCTGATTTCTTAACTGTTGCCACTCTAACATCGCCAGATTTGTCAGGAAAGATTTCGGTCACTTTTGCTAGCGGCCATCTGCTGGGATTCACCTGGTTGTCCTTGATGATAACAACATCTCCAATGCTGTGGTTATTCTCTTTGTTCTGCCATTTGTATCGTTGTTGTAAATTGTTTAAATAGTCGCTTGACCATGCGTTCCAGAAGTCCCTTTTCATTTTCTGGATTGATTTCCATCGCGTCGTTAAGCTTGTGGAAAAATCATTTATTGCTGGATGATTAGGGGATATTATCTCACGTCCAATTAGAAAATGGCCTGGGGTGAGAATTTCCATGTTACTGATGTCGTTATTTAGTGAACACAGTGGTCTTGTATTGAGGCATGCTTCTATTTGACAAAGAAGCGTGCCCAGTTCCTCGAATGTCAGTGTTGAATCTCCAATAATGCGTTTTAGGTGAAACTTTATTGACTTCACCCCTGCTTCCCATAGTCCACCAAAATGTGGTGATGCTGGTGGGATGAAGTGCCACTCGGTCCCACGTGTAATCATTGCATTTTGGAAATCGTCTTCTTGCAGCATGTTTTTACTAAAGATATTGCTGGTACCAACAAAGTTGGTTCCATTGTCGCTGTACATGTGAGCAATTTTTCCACGTCTTGA